TCAAAAAAATTACATCAGTTTTATTTTAATTCTGTAGGTCCTGTGCTTCACCCTTACTGCAAAGGGATGTCCGGATTTGCACTAGGAAAACAAGCAGCCTGCTCTGCTCTCACACCTTCCAGCTCTTACATTCACTTAGCTGTCTGATATCAACTGCTTCCCTTGCCAGAAACCCTGAACTCTGTGAATATTGCTCCTGCCATGGCTAATGACTAGGATAGTAGATTAACCCCTCTTATTCTTCCAAGTCCTTCTGGCATGAAAACCGGGAGAAGAAATGAATTATCTCTAGGATTTAACATGACACCTTGAGATCTGATATCTGCAGTCCTAGTGAGCACATCTGGCACATGACCATTTTCTAGCATAAAGGCACAGAAACAAATCCAGATAACAAGGTGAGCCAGAGGAAATGGAAGGTGCAATGCATTCTCCAAACCAATCCAGCCTCCTCACAGTTCTTGCAATAGGTTTAATAGAAAGGAAAATGCCCCATAAAAAGGCGGCTGGCATAGCATGTGTGCACAGAATCTGCTTCTCTGTGACAGGGCGTATCTCTTCCCATGCTAGAGTTATGGAGACCAAATTCAAACTGAGATGCAGCAAAAGATGATACACAAATGAACCCTTCAGCTGAGGAACTGCCTGTGTGGGCCAACGTTCTGGGCCCTGAGCATGCAAACCTTCCCTTCTGCTTCCGAAGGGAAAGCTCCGACTGACACCAGAGCAGATGGACAGAGAGCATTCATCCCTTCTCACCTTCAAAATCAACGCGCCCATCTCCATTCAGATCCACATCCCGAATGATCTCTTCAATATCCCGATGGCCCACCTGCTGCCCTAGAAGCTTCTTCATGGCTTCTCGCAGCTCGCTGGTGCTTATCTCCCCATCACCATTGGTGTCAAACTGCAAGTACATGAAAAATACCAGCAGGGGAAAGAAATGCAGTTAATGGAAATGGATCTTGCTCTCGGTTGGATTTTGTATTGTCCTGCTCCTGAGCACCCTATTTTTCCTGCATTCCTTTTGTGTCTCTCCTTTTCCTCTTTTGGGTGCCTTTTGGATCCAGTCTGTCTTTTGTCCTCGGAAACCCCTCATAACTGCTGTGTCTGCACCAGCTTTCCTCTTCCTTGCCTCAAGGGTTCCCTTATCTTAGTGATTTTCTCTGGCTTGGCTGTGCCTGGCTCTCTCTGTGCCTGGCTTGGCTCTTTGTCTTCCACTATGCTGCTCTCTCCTCTTTCTCTTGCTCGTCTCTTCCCCAGTGGCTCTCCTCTCTTTCCTGTCTCCTGTTGCTCACCTCTCGGGAGGGCACGCGTTAGGGAGCACTCACCTCTCTGAAGGCATCGCGGAGCTCTTTTACACCAATCATGTCTGCAGTTTCTGCCAGCAGCTTTGGACCCATCAGCTCAACAAAATCTTCAAAATCCACATGGCCACCCACTTGGGACAAGATGAAAGACCGCGTGTAAGAACTCCGTACATCAGCCAAGCCCAGCACTCACTTCGCACTTCTGTGTCCCAGAGAGGGCTTGGTTCTCCAGGAAGCAAAGCACAGAAGGTGCAGGAGAGTGGAAGGAAAAACAGAGGTCATTCTACACTGTCTTTGTATTTTCTGGATTGTGGGCTAGGTGGAATAAACCCAAGCTATTCTGTCCTAGGCTGCCATGGACTGTCGCATCCTTATGGCACCACATCTAGAGGCTTGATCACTCTAGAGCTTCCAGCAACCCTCTGCTGTTCCCATGCCAAAGGGTACGGCAAGGGCACAGCATGATGTTCCCGCATGGCCTGGCCAGTGCCCTGCAGCAGTGGTGGAGCTGCTCCATTAGCAGTGGCTAATGTATGTCAAACTGTTTATTCATCGTATTACTTCTTTTTCTTGTTTATTTCCTATCAGAAAGCTGGCAATAACGCTCTCAAATTCCTAAGCACTTGTGTGCCAGGTTTATCAGCTGCTTTTGTGTGTGACTGATTGTGGATGTCACAACTGTTTTCCTTCCCTTGACTAGGCAACTTGTCCTTTTTATATCATCATGTGTCACAAATAACATGCACTAAATATCCTTTTTCCCACCTAGCTGAGGGTAATACCCTGCACTGCCACAGACAAGAGGTGACAAAAAATAACAGTGAAAGACAAGGGGCATAAACACAGTTACAGTGAATTGGACGCATTTGTCACATTTTTCCATGACTCCAGCAGATGCCCCCATCTGACGCTGCCAGCACAGCTCCCTTGCAGCCAGGCACACAGCAGATCCACAAACAGCCACCACGGAGTGAAAAGCCCATCCACCACCCATTCTGACCAAAGCACCTCCATCTTCCCAGGCTCTTTCTTCAGTCTGACACCATCTGACCCCAGTTTCAATATGACAACACCCACAACATGTGCACTGATGTCTAACTGCCCACATCAAGGGCAGTTTTGTACCTGACAGCGTAAGCACAAAGGACAAGCCTTCCACACACTGTTCCCATACAGCACAGTCCACACAGACCCTTTGATAAGCATGAAACAAAGGCACCAACTGCTAGAGACCACAAATGAACAGGAGATGACAGGGAGCGAAAATGAGAACCAAAAAAAGAGGGCAGAAAAAAAAGCCAAAGGAAAAGAGACAGCAGGAGACTGAGAGAGCCTGAGGTGGTGTTGCAGGGCACAGCAGCAACAGGGAGGTACAGCTGGGTGGATGTTACTCACGGTTCATGTTGATCTGCTGGGAGAGCTCTATTAACTCCATCTCAGTAGGCATGTAGCCCATGGTTCGCATGCAGTTCCCCAGGTCCCTGCAGTTAATAAACCCGTCCTTGTCTTTATCAAACTCCTTAAAGGCTTCTCTCAATTCTGTGGAAGTGGATCCAAAAAAGAACAACATTGTCAGTGACAGCCCAAAATACCTTTTCCAAGAAACCTCCCCAGAATCAGCAGCACTCCATATTTTCCCAGCAGATCTCCCTGCAAAGAGGCAACGACTGGAGCAATGTGAAGCTCTTCTACAAGCAGCACTGCTGACCCATGCCTCACAGGAAAGCTTGCTTGGACTGCAAGTGCCATGAACTGATCATTCCCAAACTGCACTCCTTGAAGACACTGGAAGCAGTAAGTTTTCCCAGCTTTTCCCCCTGCACTATATTACATAGCACTCATTGTGGGGATTAGCAGGTGAAACAGCTTTCCCGGAGCCATAATGTTGTGCCATGCTCTACAACACTTTCTGTGGGAGCTGGGGTGAACAGCAGTTCCCTGACAGCTAACATCCCATTACTTTACTTATCTTACCACCCTGAAGAAGCTGGAATGGATGCAAATCCTTCACAGTCAACACTCTTGCCAAGTTTTACATATTATTTCTTTTTGCTGGGGTTGCCAGGAATTATTCCAGTAATCATCTCCCTTGATTTGCCCTAAATTTTTTTACCCCATGGGGGACAACCTGGAAGGGCCAGCCAGTAGGTTTTCACTGGGCAGGGAGAAAGGTGACACAGAAGGAGTGACAAATTTTACCTTCAATTTCTTCCGGACGTAGTTCTCTATCCTGCAAAAAGAGAACATACGATGTTAAAACTATGTAAAAACAAACAGTTTCAGAATAGCACTTGTTGGTGCAAACGGTTCTGGGACAAGCCAGAAAGTGAGAGAAGAAACAAGAAGGTGATGACATGTTTAATACCATCTACTTAGCAAGGCTTCCCAGCTCTCTTCCCCAACAGGATGACTGTTAGCCTGCATGCCTCCCTCTCTGTCTCATCTGCTGGATAGGGGGACGACAGGTGCTCCCTCAAAATAGAATAGACCTGGGCCAGCACAGCAGTACATGTGGCCTCCCCACCTGATGGTACTAGGAGAACCTTCATGAAGTTCCTGCATCATTCCCCAGCACCAAGTCCAGGGGCAGAGAGTGGCCCTGCAGCAGTTATGATCTCCTCTAGAGCTCTGATTGTATTTCCTACAGCAGCTCCCGCTGACACAGACAGATCAGAACAGCTGGAAGCAGTCCCTGTAACCAGCAGGTCTGTACCATCGTCTGCTTGGATCGCTGTTTGATCCCTGTCCTTCTGGCAGGACAGAGACAGCCACAAGCTCTGCTACAGCCAACATCCCACTGCCATCTCCTACAGTCAGTCCCCACAAAAAGGCAGGAACTTCCCCCTTCCCCCCCAGCCTCAGCTCTATATACAAACATTTTGAAACCAAGCATGAAGGCAGACACACAACATATACATCATCAAGGTCATCTACAAACAAAACAGGACAAGGATTCACCATGTTCAGGAAACACTGCAACTTCAAACATCCAATCTGAATTTCTTGGAAGAAGGGGGAGGATATAAGAGAGTACAGGAAAATCCACCACTGCACCAGGAAGAGGAGATGAGCATGGAAATGCACTGCTTTCTGGTTTAAATGCCCTTTCTAATTCCTCTCATGGCTCCCAGGCAAATCCAAAACATCTGAGAATTTGGAAACACAGAAACGCGATCTCTTTTGTCGTCTCACTCTCGGCTTTCCCCCTCAACTGTGGGGAGTTTCTCCTTGCCTTCCAGATGTCCTCCAGCCTCACCACACGTCCCTGGAGACAGTGCCCTTGATCAGTTCAAGAAGGATGATGCTTTGCTATTTAACCACAGGCTTCTCTGGAAACTCTAATGGCAGCTGCTCAGAGTGCATAGCAAACTAGGACACACACTGGTTGATGTCTGTGCAAAAGTGGGCTGTGCCAGAGAAACGACCAGCTTGCCACTCATAACCTTCCCAGAGGCATCTCTGTGCTGGATGGAATTGTCGGAGCATGCTGGCTCTGCCATTTCATCCTCCACAGACCTGGTATTTTCAAACATGTCATCCCATTTGTTCTGCTTTCATCAACATCAAGTAATAAAACAATTCAAAGTCCTTAGACCGGATGCAGGAGGCGTTTATTGCCCTCCTGCCTTAGATAAAACAGCAGATGAAAACCACCCGTGATCATCAGTACCAACACCTTGTGCCCCTCATTCCAGAGTTCACCAACATTAACCCCGGAGATGCTGCTGTGTGCCAGCAGCTGCTCGGCGCTGCAGCAGATGCAGAGGTGTGATTACCACCGCCATGGTTCAAAGGATGCCGTGACTCACCCACGGGAACCACTGTCTTGTGAGAATGGCTGGGGCAGGACCAGAGCCTTCCTGCAGCACAGCTGTCACAAGACTGTCCTCCTCTTTGCTGACTGAAGACCACATTGCAACCGACATGACTGACACATGTCGGAAATGGGGGCTTAGCACCGGCTCTAATTTTGCACACCAAGGCATTTGTGTCTGCAGGGCTCTGAGCGTATTTTTGCACATGCAGATTGTACCATCAGAGATCCACAGACTGCAAATGCAAAAGGAGGGGGAGGGCTTACGTCCCTCCAAAAATCTGAGTCAACTGATAACTAACATCATGAAGAGGTTTTCTGTTTTAAATTTGAAAGAAGTTCCCCTAAAATTATAAAGGAGGAAAATTGCTTGGGAAGAAATGGGCTGAATCACTCTAAAGCTTTTGGAGAACATATGGAAAGAGGAATAAAGCTGTTCAGAGAGTTTAGATCCTGGATATGAGCAGAGGTGACCCTCAGAGAGTCCATTATACATAATGGTCTTACCCTCATTTATTTCTGTTCTATGCACAATAAATCCTGTTCGTCTAGAGAGTCAGTAAAAGTAAAGCTGTTTATCAGATGCACTTATTCTACATCAGGATAGACATCACTAATCCTATTTTGGAGATTTCTTAGGGTACTGTGAGTTTCCAGGCTCTAAACAGGAGGGGTACCTGTCCAGCTGTGAGCCTTCTGCTAGGGAGCTGGACCTGTCTCCTGCGGCAGGTAGCTCTGCATGCCAGCAAGGGTGAGAATATTACATTTTGTGTTTTAGTGAAGAGGCACAAGGAATATGTGATCACTTAGTGGCTGAAGGCTAGGAAGAACAAAAGCCCTTTGATCAATAATGACAAATAATGACTCTTTTTTTGGTTGTTGGTTGAAGAAGAGGTTTCAGAAATAAAGATCTAGTTTTCTCCTACAGCTGTAGATAACCATATACATGCATGAGTAAGGCAGAGATTTCTTACAGAGGCAGGAAAACTCTGACTCTCAGGTAACTGGGGTGAGCTTTGTTTCACCAGAAGAATATGGAATGCACTGCCTGAATATCTGACAAGGCACATATTCACTTATCCATAAAATGTGTGTTAATCATATGTTTGTGTATGTCTTTAAATTAATGTTATTGTAGGAATCGAATGTTTATGTGCAAAAATATATTTTACTTCTTGTAAATATACAATACTGGAATGTATATTTAAGTACATTTAACATGTGTAGGTGTTTACATTTGAATTTCCATACAAACACATTTTTACTGTGTATACATGCATACATTAGATGCATATGAACACGCAGTTACAATGAGGTGCGACTGAATGGAAGGATGTGTTTCTGCTATTTATCTGTGTGTGTATGGGTAATAGCATGTGGCAGCCTGGCACTGTCAGCAATACGAGGACAGACTGATGTCCTTTGGTTTATTTGGCTGCGATTGCTGCAGTGTCAGGCTGTGTGTGGCAGTGTACAAGAGATTGCATTTGGGTATCTGTGAGGAGGCAGATGCATGCTTACCTCTGCTGGTCCTGGTGTGCTCACTGTGAGCTGATGGGAACGGTATCAAATACGGGCATCTCTGTGGTACAGCTTGTTCCCAATATGGATGCCCTAATTTGCATTTAAGTGGCAATTTAGTCCTTAAATGCTAATCTGAGCCTCTGAGAATGAGATGTGGACATCTTCCCGGAATAACAGCTTTGAAAACTGGACTCCTCCCGAGTCCATATGATTATATAAGTCCTTAAGTCCTAAGTTGTTCTCCTGAGTCCCTATGATTATGCCTACTTGAGTATATCTCAGCTTGGATCTACCTTCCATAGCTGCATTTTTAGATTCCTCCTTTCTTGGTGTTTAGGCACAGAGATATCTCTGAACATCCTTCAGTTTAGACATTTGCCTGTGATTGTATTTGCTCTTGGAGCTGGAGCCGGGATGCTCGAGACCCAGGGTGGGGGTTACAGAGCTCCACGCAGATGGGGCATGCAGGCAGCTCTGCATCCCCAGCTCGCGTCCACGTGGCTTTGTGCGTGTCTTGCCCGGCTGGGTGTAACTTACGTACAGGCTGCCTGTTTTCTGCGAAGCCCTTCCTCAGGAAGATGCATGCTGGCCCCAGCAGGTTGTGCATGACGGCGCAGTTCTGGGCCAGCACCATGAGCGGACCCTGGTACTCGCAGGCCGACGGCCCCTCTTCGCTCGTCTGGACAGCCTTATAGCACGTCTTCTCCTCATGGCGGATCTTCCCAGCCAACCAGCAGCAAGCAAACAACACAACAGAGGATGTTACCTCCCCGTCTCACCCAGACGTTCCTCTGAAGTTTTACTGAACCACCTCGCAGAGACATTATTGCTAGATTTCCTTCATCTGGTCCACACTGCATCCCCCCCCACCGGTCTATTAGGATTTGTGCAGAAGCAGTAAGTCCAAGAGTTCACTTTCAAAAGCTGATAAAAGTAAAACCAACCAGGAGAATTTCACTTTGAAATTACATCAAACTCTCAGCACTGCTCACATCTGCCCAAAGGGCCACGCTCCCACCATCAGCCCAAGAGTTAACGATCCCTTGAATGAGCTGCAAAGGACAAGCACACCCCAGCCTAGCAGGACATGTGCCAGCCTGCGCCCCGTCAGCCAGGACGTCCCCAGGAGACCGGGCAGAGCCTGCACAGACACTGCATTGGGCTCCGTGTTACATTTCAGCAACGCAGCATCACACACTTTATAATATTATTAGAAGGCCGTTTACAGCATCAGGTGGCTCTGCCAACTGCAGGCTCACACTCCCCGTGCCACCTCTAATTAGTTACATCCTCAGGGTCTCAGGCAGTTACTGCACTGGCCTCCTCTAATCACTGACAGTCCCAAAGTGGAGAACAGGCACGGGCACAACATTTTTGTCTGTTTGCATTTGCACATTTTCCTTAGTGCACACATCCTGCTAAGCCAGGGCTCCAGAACAGAACCCAGCACTGGATTGTATAAGGAGGCACTGCTTTCCTTTTATAGAAATGCATTTCCCTGGCTCTGCAAGAAAACTCTTATCCTGATATTCCCATGCAGCTATAAAAAGCCAGCACAACCCACAGGACCCTTGGTTTTATAGAATAAACATTAATCATACATCAGATTCCTCTTCAGGAATGATTCTACTTTTACAGTCGGTGTTCCCAGGGGTGATCAGAGAAGCTCTGTCAATTGTCATTGTCTCTATTAACCCTTTCCCTAAAGCCTGAGGTGCTTTTTCAGGCTAAAAGACCAGATACGCACACATGCTGCATTCACACTTGTCCGAGTCCATTGTATCTACTCGCTGTGTCTGCCACGTGCTATTATAGTGCACACATGGTTTATAGTTGCATTTTTGTACACAGCCTTACACCAATCTGCTCATGTATAATGTCATCTGAATATCAAGCATCAAAACAAAAACAACTGAAAAAGCAAGCCATGGAGAAAGAAAATGATGAAGCAGAAAAGCATTTTCGCTGCAGTCATGGATGAGGAAGAAATCTGCCTCTGATTAAATTCGACGCATAGGACACTTGTCCTTAAAGACCTGAAAGATGAGCATCCATCCACAAATGGCATATTACCAGCTCAGCTAAATGTCAAGGCATCTGTGTTGAACTGCACAGCTTCGTGATATCAGTGCAATGTATTTTCAAAATCATCAGCTTTGTTTCCTGGCACATTTTTCAGTTTAATACACCAAATAATATTAATCACTTAAAACAGCCCACAACAGTTGTGTGTTTAATTCCAGTGAAACCATGGGAAAGCTCGAAGGCCCCACAGCCCCTAGTCCTTGATTGCCGACCCTTGCAGTAAACAGGGTTTATTACCAAGCCACAGAGCAGTGCCACGGAATGGTCATCCCCTCATTCTGCTGTGTGGACAGAGATTGACAGTTTGATGAAACTGTTGCCAAGAGCCACCAAGGATCCTGACCTGACAACCCGACGCAGTGCCAGGACAAGGGGCACATCTTAGCAAGGCCCTGACAGGGGATCCCTGCCCCGCTCTGCCACTGCAGGCAGGATTTATGGCATTCCATGTTCCCTCTGCCAGCAGCCCCACATGTTTCTCCTGCAAGTATCCCCACAAGGTCCCTCCACCACATTCCTCCTGCAGCCTGGCAGAGCCAGAAAAGGAGCTGTGATACGTGTACAGGGCAAAGCAACACCAGCTGCCCGGTACAGGGGAAACAGCAGCATGTGTGACCAGGAAAATGCAAGGACAGGGCTGGGGAGCTCAGGCTTCCCCTGTCCCTTCCTCGAGCAAAGGACCACTACCCTTCCTGGCTGCGTCTGGCCCTTGGCTGTGTCAGACCAGCAAATTGTGGAGAGGGAAGAGACTGGGCTGATTTAGAGACGGCTGTAGTGATGGTGAGGGGTGGCAAAGCGAGGGACCTGGATGCCAAAGCTTTCCCTTTCTGCACAGCAGAAGCAAAACAGGATTCACTTCATTTTCCTGCCTGCATGTCAGAGGGACTTTGCAGAGCGGCAAGCCCAGAGGGGCCTCTCCATCCCACCCGCAGTGCCTCTGAGAGGAAAGGCAGCCAGGCTGGCTGCTGGGATCACTGGGGGGACATTGTCTCAGTGTGAAAGTGAAGCTGCCAACAGCAGGCGTTGTGGAGACAAAGCCTGAGCATTGCCATCTGAAAAGGCGAGGTACCCCTGTGTCAGCCAGTCCCAGACCAAGCCAGCCCGTGCCTAGGACTGACTCCCAAATTTTGTGTTGAAATAGTGTTCAAGAGATCAGTCTGTCACCCAAGACCAGCTTTCACACAACGTTATCTACACTCTCTCCTCTTTACCATTTCAGCAAAATAAGTTTGCCCAAGCTAAAAGCTGAGAAAAAAAGAGCGGGATCGCAAAGCAGCCAAGTGAAGTTGTGTAATGTAAGACTGATCTGCAAAATCTCCACTACAATCACGTGCATCGTGATCAAAGGAACGGCAGAGCCCCAGGACCTGTCAGGATGAGTGCCCAAGGCTTTAATTCATGGCTAGCTGGAGCAATTTCTGAGAAACTCTGTAATTCTGCTTTGCAACTTTTTCTCTTCAGTCCTCCCATCCCAGGCTTTCTAGCTAGGCAAAAAGTGCATTACTCGAAGCAGCTTTTAGGAATGAAAGCATAAATTACCTATAAGATTGATGGCATTGAGCTTATAAGTTCTTGAATCCATTTTGATTCAAGCAGCCTGGCCACACGTCAGACTTTAATTGCAATCGCCTTGATCACGTTGAACACAGCTGCAGCCAACTTCTTTTATTGCAAGTTGGAGGCGACCTACAAGCAATCAAGTTGTTTTTTCATATGTGCAACATTTGGGTAAACATCAACTACTTCTGCCTCTCCCTGAAGGTCACCCTGACCTCAGGACTGGTCTCACCATTGCCTAACTGCTTGGTGATGAATTCCCTCCTTGTGTATCCCAGCTCCACCACAGCAGCACTGTGCCAGTACTGGCTTTGTTTACAGCAGCCGAGATAACAAGTAAACTGTGTTTCTACACAGAAGAGGCAAATCTCCGGCCAGAAGAAACTCCCCCTTAGGGAGGTCCTCTCCCCAGCAGCTCCCTCCCAGAGGAGCTTTCCTGGGTGGCAAGGTCTCCTGGGTGGAGCATCCTGGTGGCAGTGGCGTTTCACTGTCAGCATGGTCTCCACAGAGGCAGCTCCTTGTTGCAATACTTCAGATGCTTAACATAACTTCTTCATTTATAGGGAGTGAATTGCATAGCTTTTTGCTGAGTTATTAGATTTTCAGCAACACTAAGTGAGAACCGTGCGGCTGACAGGTACACAGAGCTTCAAGACCTTCCTCAGTCAGACAAGAAATGTTTCTGGGGCACATCGTTCCCATTTCAATCTAGTCCCTAACAGCAGAGTCATTCCTGAATCTAATTCATCCTGGGGTCATTGTAAAACCCCAGCACAGAGCAGACCATGGGTTGAAGCCTAACAGATACACGTCAGCTCGCAGATGAAGTCCAGCTGGGCCCAAGCATGTAGACACACGGGCCCTACTGACGTGAGACATGATGCACGAACACGCAGCCAGGGCCCAGTGTATCCATTCACAAACACAGCCACAGACAAACATCACAGAGTAAAACATGCTTCTATACCCAAACACGCACCAACAAAACTAGATGTGTGCATATGCAAGGATGGATATACGTAGCAGGTACACGTACACACAGTGCCATACAACAGGGATACATGTGTGATGTGCAAAAATTCCCCCCCATACACTGACAACAACCATTGCACACCTGCTCATGCACCTCAGGATGCATACGTAGCGACACAAAGAGCTAGGGGCACACACACAGTTCAGATGGGCTCATCAGGTGTACGCATTCTTACACACCAACAGGAATACGTGCAGACACACGCCCATTCACATGTTCATGAATACATGTCCCTACAGAAACGACACGCGACTGGAGTCGTGCAGATACCTCTCAACTGAAGCACATGCACACGCACACAAACTCACACATACACACATACATTAAGATGCCCGTACACAAGGTGTGTGCCAGCATACTGTGAACATCAACAAACACAAGCTTGCACATGCCCAGAAGAGAGCTACACACACACACATACACACGGAGCAGGACACCAGCGTGCTCACATGCATGCATACGCACACAATTATTTACACACGTGTTGTGGCTCTCAGCATCCCAGGCTCTAATGGCTGCACTTGCATGAGCAACTCTTACAAAAAAAGTCTGGTGAAGAGAGCTGAACCCTTTGTACACATCTGTGTTTCTCCCACCTCCCATTCCCATCTGCCCACGATGTCACCCATCCCAAGAAGCAGGGCTGGAAACGCACAACGCACTTTGATTCAGGGAACGTACCTTTTTTGAGAGGTTTCTCAGTGGAGACTTCACACAGTTGCCCATAATATGTTGAATCTGCCTTTCCGGTGGACTTGGTTATAAAGGAACTGAAGCAATTGATCCCATTAAAGGTATTCCTTGGGAGCAAAGCAAGAAAGGCAGCGCCAGGCAAATCCAAACAGCTACTGGCTGCTGGGGCTTCCCTCTTCAGGGAGCTTTTTCTCTCTCTGCCTCTCTCTCTCCGTGTTTTTACTTTATGTTCACTTTCTTGAAGAGATGAAGCAGGAAGGAGAGGGAGGGGAGAGAAACAGGCAGAAAGAGAGGGAGAGAGAGGGAGAGAGAGAGAGTGAGAAGGGGAGAGAGAGGGAGGCGGATGTATAATCTACATCAGATTAATGTTCAAATCCCTCCCACCCCCCTCAATCTGCAGGCAAGATTGTTTCACTCATGGGAGAGGGCTGATTCAGGGAGAATTAAAACAGAGGCACCGCAAGAAGTGATTTCAGTGATGAGTTCAGTGAATCCAGCTAGTTTGGGTCCGCACAGCCTCTGAACATCGCATCCCTACCCACCCCCCTTCTAACTCCTCTCGGCTTTTCAATCACAAGAGAGCTTGGCTGGCCAGAAGGCAATCCACTTAGGGGCTTGGAGCAGAGTCCAGAGCTCATTTTGGAGCAGAAATGGACCATTTATCTGGGTGGGACCTGCTTCAGCTTATAAATACCAGCAGACCTAGAAGTCCTTCATTGTCTTGCTGACACAGTGAAAGCAAGCCTGGCAGCAGCAGTCCTGGGACCCTACAACACTCTCAGCCCCAGGACAGTCATTTTTAACCGCAAGGGAGAGACCTTGAGCCAATCTTGCGGAAAAGTTTTTCCAGCTTTCTCCAAGTAGAAATCAGCTGGCAGTTTACCTATACAAGTCTGCCAAAGATGGGCTCACACCTGAATCCTACATCTGGACAGCCCCAGGCTAGATAATGGGAGGTAAAGAATTTGGATGTCAGATCCATCCATTCTGTTTCCAAGCACCCAAGTCCTGGAACAAGTGAGAGGCTTCTAAGCCTAGAACCAGCTCTGAACTCTGGACTTTAGGCTTGTTGTGGTAACAGAATAATCTCTGAAAGAAAAAGGATGAGTCCCCACCCAGTACATTTTCCTCTGATCTCAGGCTGAGCATACAAGCATTCAGTCTGAAAAGAGATTTAAATTGCATAAAAAATTCACCATTGTACCCAGGCAACAGGATCTGAACAGGATAGTGAACACCCTTAGCTACGAAGCCACCACAGCTGCTGCTCCACAGTGATAAGAAGCTGTGGCATGAAAAGCCACCTCCTTCAAGAACTGCGGAGACCAAGATGACACTGATCCTACACCCTGTCTATGCAGCAGGCTGGTTGGACACTCAAGTGTTCAGCTGAAAGATTTCACAGTGTTCTTTGTGAGTGTGGTCCCTAACAAAAGTCTCTGCAAAGACCTAACCCATGGGCTAAGTACTTGCACCACATGCTTGTTTGTGCAGAAGCCAAGGGCTCACTCTCCTGGCAGCTCTAGGGCTGTAGGACAGAGAAGGATGAACTGTCAATGTCACAACAAAGTGAGGATATCTCTGCTCTGGAAGCTCTGGTCTGGAAGACCTCTATGCAGAGCCCACCCATGGTGGGCTGGGAAGCGAAACTGTTCCTGAGCTGGGCATGTCTCCTGCTGTCACAGTCTGAAGACCCCTGACACTGGGGAAACATACAGTCACTCCCTGGGGGCTGTGCCAGCCCTGGGCCTCACAGTGGGGGACTTTGCAGGAGGATCCCAAAACTCCCAGCTCCTCTCAAGGCTGCCATCTTTAGCTCTGTTTCTCTTTCCACTCTTAAAGCAGCTAATGGGAGGCTGATCTACCCTCAGCCAAAGCGCCAGTCATGAGTAATGTCCTCTGTCAGCCGGAGCCATTCCCCAGGCTCCTTGTTTATTGACGAAGTGCTTGTCTCCCTTGAGCAGAAGCTGCCACACAGCGAGCAAGGCGCCTGGGCTCCTTCTTGAGACGAATGACTCCAATTCCAGAGCAGAGAGGAGAGAGAATCGCCTCCCTGCTGGTAATGAATCTCCCCCTGACAGGCAGCGTGGAGGTCAGGAACGCCCTACAATTGAGAAGTGCCCGTCTCCCACATCCTCCCAGAGGGAGGGAGTGGAACAAGGCAGCCAGGTGTCTCCTGCCAGGAGAATCCATCACAGCCCCAGACTGCCACGGGACAGCTTTGGAAGACAGGCATTGAGAGTGCCTTACAGAGCTCTAAAAGCCTCTCAACAAAAGTTGAGATGGTCATCCTGTAAATATTAGCTTGTACCAAAGCGTTTGGATCCAGGCACCACGGCATGCTGCCGCGTTTGCCTGCTCTCCTGCTTTTCTTTCCTGCAGTTGCAGGCAGCTGTAGGAAACATGCAGGGCAAAGCAAGAGGGCTGAGACCTGCTGCCAGGCTTGGCAGGGAGTTCACAATCCAGGAAGGGAAGAAGCAATGGGAGCCCACTTGCACCAGGTTTGCAGCACATTCCTTTGGCTCTCCAAGAACTTTGGCAGAGCTGCAAGGGGCCCAAGAGATGCAATTGTAAACAATTTTCTTATCTCCTTTTTTACCCTGAATCTCTTAAGAGCAATTGGGCAGCACGTCACGATCTAGCAGACAGACCCTGCTGACCTCTGAGGAGGAAAATCACTCTCTGCATTGGGATCTTGCTCCCATCACCACCACAGGCAGCTTAGAGATAGGCAGGAAAGTGGAGCTGGCAGAAAGGTCATCAGAAGATGAGGTTAGAAGAAGCATATTTTCTCCCTTCCTCCAACTGAGGCTGCTGTAAGAGAACAGGATGCTGAGAATAAGTGTGTCAAAAACATTTGTGTGTAGGTGCTGATCTGTGGGTATGCCTATATCTGGGGTAGTCAGTGTGCGTGTGGGAGGGCTGCACATGCATGTATACTGGTTTTCCCACACTGTTCTCTGTGGCAATCACACTGTTCTTTTAAGGTCTAGGGCTCTGTTGTAAACTTTCTAAAAATCAGTAGGAATTTTGTGAAATGCGAGTCTTGCCCATGTGCCCACATCCCTTCCTCTACTCCAAGGTCCAAGGTGGAGAGCTGAGACCTCAGTGGATGCGGTTTGGCACAGAGCAAGGTCTCAGATCACAGGCAAGAAGCATTTGGCACTTTGATTGATCTGAGCAGAGAGCAGGGAGGAGCCTGGGTGACTTGGCATTGAACAGGGAGTGATTTAGGTGGTTTAATATGCCTGGATTCTTTAAAAAGCAGCAGTGCTGTGCTTTGGGCTGGCACCTTTGGCAGAAATGCTCATTCCATAGGAAAATGTTGTATCCAACCATAGCTAATCACTTGGTAGCTGCCAGAAACTTTATCCAATTGCAACAAATATCCAACAGCCACAACAGAAAGAACAAAAGTCAATCCAAACTTTGGGCTTGAGTATCAGACTGTAGCTTTGCTTGGCAAAAATTTCCAGTGGAGGTATGGATTTGTACAGGGAAGCTGTTCGGATGCCAGGCCTGTTTCAGTGCACAGTCTTTCACTTGCTGGAACGTTAATATCAGATGGGCATTCTCAACACAAACACTGCAACAGGGCAATGTCAGTAGGTAGGGGGGTTAATCTCTGCAGGGACTGTATCATAAAGCAGGGAAAACCATTCCCAGCATCTTTTCACTGAAGTCCATGGTTTTACCTAAGAGCCCATTGCATGCTTCAAAGATTTAGTATTTTAAAATACACCACCTCATTTAATTTATCCTGACAGAGTAAGATTTTTTTGGTCTATTTTTTACAATCACAGAGTGAAAAGTGCACATATTGATCAGCAGCTTTCAAATCTGCTCCCAACCAGCCTTTAGCTAGTGGCTATAGATCTGTATTTTACAAGAAACAACCCAGTCTTGTTTACTGGATGACCTCAGATGAGCCTACGCATTTGGAATTGTTAACATCTTCCCGTTGCCAGTGCTGTCGAAGGCCTCATTTCAAAGCTCCCAACCACTGGAACACGCACTGGCACTCCAAACTCCAGTGACTGGCTTCCCTCTCTTCTTCTGCGTCAGGATCCCAAGTGCTTTTGCTGCACATTGAGTTGTGTCTTCTAACCTCAGATGAACTTTGGATGGTTCCATATTCCAGTCAGACAAGTACATGTCCATTTCAAGGGGACACACCAGCAGGTATTGGTGGATGCAGTCCAGATCCTCATCTAGGGGAAGGAATATTTCTGCAGAGAGTTTGGGAACTTTCCTTGCTGTCAGCTGTTCCAGGAAGAAAGTGTTGCTGACTCATGCTGTGCATAATATTCTCCTCCATTAGAGCAATTGGATCATATTCAATCACAAACAGCAGAAAGGTTATTAAAAAGACCAAGGATATTTTCCATCCCTCTCAAGGTAACAAAGCCTGGACTGTCAACTTCTGTTTAGAACAGCGTTGTCTGTAATTAGCTAGCTTTATTCTATTAGATGAAAAGAGATGGGAATGTGCCATCTCCCGACACCTTCCATGCAGATCTGGTCCACGTATTTTGCAGCAGCCCAACTTCCAAAGGAGATGTGTTGCCCAGAGCACAATATGTTGTGGATATTTTCTGCTTTCAAGATCATTAATGGGCTACAAAAAGACAAGTACAAGCTTGACAGCTCAGAAGCTGCTGTGACAATTTGCCATGTGTACACAGCACAAAGATTGTCTAAAACAAACCTTATGTAGTCCCTTTTCTTTGGTCAGGAATATGAGAATTGTGAATCACTCTCTGTCCACCTGGGCTACTTCAAAAGCAGCTAATTCTGCCCTGGCTCCCTCACCTCTTTCAAAACAAAAGGGACAGGGGCTCATTATCTGGCTGGTACACTGAAGTGCTACAGAAAGTGTGGCTGATAGATGAGCAGAGGTCTGGGAACCAATACTAACCAAATACTCCAAACCAACCCTGCAACGTTACAGGAGATAAGCTACCATAAAATCGAGGTCTGCCTCACTTCTTTTTTGAGTAAGGATCCGACAGCACCTTTAGAAGGATCAATCTGCATATCCCAGTATGAGATCTCTGGCTATATCTCAACACAGCTTGTCACAAACTACCTAAACCCTTTTTGCGTTATTTCAGGAGAATGCAGTGGGGTTGCTGGCAGTTTTCTACTTCCTGCCTTCAGCCATTGTGACATGATGCCTCACAATGTTACATGGCTGCCTGTTTCCTTCCAAGAGCAGAGAATGTATTTCATCTGTGTGGGATGAAGCAATGCTCTATATTCTTTCCAAAGATG